TGGAATACCAGATGCTGTTTATTTTCCATTTTTTTAAAATGTTTTGCACTTTAAATTCAATCTTGTTCTTTGGGATTAGCTGTGACAAATTATTAGTGATTTCATGTTTATGTCGTTCAATTGCTTGTTCGGCCCTTGCCTATAGCTGCCTCATTATATTTCCCTTTACATGCATTTGGGTTTATGCATTTAATTCATAGCTCCATTGCATGGTGGTTTATCATTGCAGGTTACAAAAGATGATGTTGATGCTGCCCTGAAAGTCCTAAATTTTGCTATTTATCATAAAGAATTGACCGAGATGGACGATCGTGAACAAGAACAACAAAGAGAAGAAGCGAGAAAACACAGAGCTGATCGTCAAGGGTAAGCATATGATGTCTTTAATGAGCATGTGTTGCTTACAATTTAGAAATAAATATTGCTTATAAGCATTTGATCATCTTTATCATGTATATACTTTCTTTCGTATAAATTTTATCTGATAATTACTAAATGATTAAATTTATCCTGATGTGCTGACCTTCTCTGTTGCTGCAATTTGCCCAACCACAAGTGCTATGGAAGTAGATGATCCTCCAACAGCCGAGCAGCCCACTGCCACCGGCTCTCTTGAAAGGTCTGAGTCCTAACTAAACACTTCAATTATGCGTTAACCCATGCTTTTTTCTTCAAACTCAGCTGCACTCTATTGTTTCACATGTTAACTTTATAAACCCCCCCACTTCTTTGTTGATGGATTTCAGAATAGAAGCATTTAAAGCTAAATTTGGTCAGCATATGCGGACGAACCACAAAGATACCATATCTATATCTGAAGTGGAGAATGTTGTCAACACCAGAGCTGATGACCATTACTCAAGGGCAGAGATCGTTACGATATTGGAGGTAACATTGATATTTGGGTTGTCGGGATGGGAACATCAATACAAAGTTTCTATATTCTTAATGATGAATGACACACTTCTTTCTCCATTCTTGCTTGGTGTAACATTTTGAAGCTCGTATACTTGTTTATTATTCCAATTTACTAAAGTATGGGAAGGCTATATACTGATGGTCACTTTTTTCACTTAATTTTCAGAAACTGCAAGACGATAATATATTGATGATAGCCGGCGAAACGGTGCATATGATAGTGTGAGATATAAGGCAAGACCTGGATTGAACCTAAATAAGCAAGTATGAAGCTCTGCTTTCTGTTATGCAATCGCTTTGGCACGGAAATCTTGGTTTTGCCCAACTCATGTTTTATTCCAAGATTGTCTTAAAAATAACGACTTGGCTGTAGTAGTAGCTTAAATGTGAACTGGAGATGGATCCCCTGTTTGCTTCTGCAAGTGACTTGTAAGCTATTGTTTATGGACCTTTGGAGTTTATGATTTCAATGGTTTAGTACCTTGGATATAATTCTAAGCATCAATTTGTAGTAAGAAAGAAGGTAAACAAACAGAACCATGCAGCCATTAAAGTAATTAACCAACAGAACCAAAAACCAGAAATGGAATCAAAAGCCAAAAAACAATATTCATCAAGGAATTAGAAGAGAAATAAACACAAAGGAATGAACTTCAAAAGAAGCATGCAGCCATAGAAGCCAAGGCAGCTAGTGCAGCAGCAGCAGCAGGAACACCCAGAGCCACACCCGCACTTTCCATCGGTGATGGTGCGATCTCACCCTGGTCTTCCCTCAAAGCAGTGGCTCCGCTGGCCAATACAGCAACAACCATAATGCAGGCAATGGCCATTTTGCTTCCCTCCATTTTCCCCGGCTAACTCAAACTAAAGAAAAGCACTGTTGAAAATTACAAAAGTGAGAGAAGCTATTGAAGATGTCGTGTGCTTCGGATTGCAGAGACTTATAGTGCTTTTACAGGGGAAAAGAAAAGCTTATGCTACTGACCAAGTAGTTGCCAGCTTTATTTTGTTGGCCTTAAAACGAACAAAATCATTTGAAGACATGTTTATGTGTTGTCAGCTATTCCCTGTAAACTCTACACCAGCCTGGACAAACCATATTTGTTACTCAAATCCGAATAAAAATGACCATAATCAATCACTATGATATACAATCCAACTGGTAATTGTATTGAGATATTTACACCTGATGAAATTCAAATTTAAATATATATTTTTTTAAAAACCTCTCTGAAAATATATCAAAACTTGAATTTAAAATCTTAAATTTTTTAAAACTTCGACATTATTAAACTCAGTTTCATTAGTATCTGAATAATGGGTTTAAATTAAATAATTCATAAATACTTTTATGAAATTATATGTTTGTATATTTATATATGGACAGCCCCATTGCATTGCTGAGGTCCATTACGAACCTCTACAATAAAGCATGTTTTATTAATTTTCAAAAGATTTATTGCGAAGTAAATACGACGTCGACGACTGATTTCATTGTAAAAATGGATACTCTTCTACATGTTTTTTTTGTTTATTATTTTTGATTCATTACCGTCTCAATTACTGAATATTCTTCATAGAGATTCTTATGACGTAAAGAATTGATGTAATAATTTAACTTTTTTTATTAAAAAAATGCTAAAAATGGTGTAATCATTATAAATTTAATAACTATATATTATATGAAATATCAATGAATTTAATTCTAATCTTTTTAATTTATAATGCTAAAATTAAATTATAAATAAACATAGATTTGTTTTATATATATAGTATTTATTATTTAAGGTGCTTTCAAAGTTTTTGGGGCACCCTCTAGAACGGCCACCCAACATTTTATAAAGATGAATCCAGAATTTGCATACTTTTAATTAGGCCCCTCAAAAATTTTAAATTCACATTAAGTCCTATTTTTGAACATTTTAAATAGGCAAATTTTTAAAAAATTCTTATTAAACCTCTCAAAAAATTTAATTAGACCTCATTCTTTTTTTCTTTTATTTATTTATTTAAAATTCTCATTAATTCTCTAAAGGTTTTTGAATGTTTTCATTATACCTTCAAAATCTTTTAAAATTATTCTGTCAAGACTTTTTTACTATTTACGAAGTAAATCATAAAGACTTAGATCAAGCAACCATGCAGCCATCGAAGCCAAGGCAGCAGGAACACCCAGAGCCACGCCCGCACTTTCCATCGGAGATGGTGCAATGGCCCCTTCATCTTCCCTCAAAGCAGTGGCTCCACTGCCCAAAACAGCAACAACCATAATGCAGGCAATGGCCATTTTGCTTCCCTCCATTTTTTTTCTCAGCCAACTTGAAGTGGGAGAAGCTATTGCAGGTTTGTGTGCTTTGAGAGGTTCACTTGGATTGCAGAGATTTCAAGTGTTCTTTTATAGGGAAAATTTTATGCTAAAGATCAAGTATTTACCAGGCTGGACTGGTTTATATAATTGGGTTTTGGTTGAATAATTCATGCAACTTTACATAACTGTGACAATTATGTATTTGCAGTGTTTCAATAATGATCACTCCATTTAACATTAAGCTGTCAATTGAGTGTCAGAAGCCTTCTTCCATTATAAAATGGAAGATCATGTTACAAGATTCCTTACAATGATAAGTAGACATTATGTAAGAATCTTAAGGCATAAATTAACTAAGTAGCATGATTAGTGCCTTACAGTTATAAATTTTAGGTAATTTGCAATATATTAGCATTTTGAGAATGATATTTGTTTGGTTCATTTAATTGAAATATAAGATTATGTTATAAGATCATCTAAAAATAAATTTAAATCTATTTATTCATGTCTTATTATTTCTTTTAAAAACTATTTGGGAAAATAATTGAATTGATTAAAATGATAAAAAAATAAGTTAATCAAAACACAGAGAGAAATAAGATTATTTAAAGAATATGTGATCATGAGCTTATATTTTGTTCAGAATTATGACTTGCATGTTATACTAGTGAATCAAATATTATAATTTTTATTAGTAAAAAAAAGAAATATTTTGATTTTATATCAAACTCTAAGGTTACATCTAATATTATACATCTATATTTAATATAATAATTCAAACTTATACTTAAAGACTCATACGTCAATGTTAATTCTACTTAAATATTTTTATGGTATTTTTAATTCATAATATTAAATTTATAATATAAAAAGGAGATAAATATCAACATGACAATTTAATTTAATATATAAATATTCAAGGTGATTTACATGGGGCACACAATCGTTGAACGAAGATAAATATAAAACACTTTATCCTTCAGCAACAAAATGACTCCGTGGCCCAATGGATAAGGCGCTGGTCTACGGAACCAGAGATTCTGGGTTCGATCCCCAGCGGAGTCGTTTTCCTTTACACTTTTTTTTTCATTGCCAAAATACATTTCAGACCATTCTTTTGGGATGACAATGCAGCCGGGGGTTTGCATTGATGGGAGGAAAAGCCTTATTGACAAAATAACTACAAATACAATGTATGACCAACTCCACAGCTTCTTCAAGCCAAAGTTTATCTGTGCTTCATTCCCGTCACTGCTTCCCAAGCTTATATTCAGTATACAGCAAAGGATACCATCAACCGGAGCAAACACGAAGAGGCATACACCGCATTTCCGATTGCAGGAGCGAGGTCAGTCTTGCTTATGGTTTAATTGTTAGTTTCATCCCCCAACTATACAAACATCTAAAGTTAATCCCTCTATTCTAATCGGTCAAAATTTAGTCGTTCTACCTTACAAAAACTTTGTTAAACCTATATTAAAGCTATGTAGTAAAACATCTTGTCATCAATTCCTCAACTAAATAATGACACTAAATCTTCTTGCAAAGTCGTAGTAATCATTATATTAATTCAAACAACATTTTTCTTTAATATAAAAACAAAGAGATTACCACAAGATTTGTTGGGCAATAAGCATCACATCATCTTCATTATCCTTTTGCCCCATCATGTTATCTGAAAGCTTGATTGATAGTCATTCGGAGGAAAGGGAACTTAATAAATATTTGACTTATGAAGAGCAAACGACAATCACATAGCAAACTAGCTGTTATAAGTAAACAAAACAAGATATTGAAACCCAAAAGATTAAAGTTCGACCTTCCTGATAGCCTAGGCTTCTCGAACGAATACAATACCCAGTCGACAAACCGATAGATGTTCACTATGAAAGATTGTAGAACTACAATTACCTTAACTCCCTCCCATTGATTGAATGAGAGAAACTACATAAACAGGTTGGGCCTTGACGCCTTGTAGGTAGTCTTCAGCTTCCTGGTAGGTGGCCTCACCTTCTTGACCACCAATGGGAACTTGATTTTCGAGTTGTGGAACTGCTTGGTGTTGTCCCTCTTGCATAGCTTAGCCGGGATGGTTGCGGTCTTAATAATCTGGATGCAGGGGAACCTCACCCTGTGACGAGAAGCCATCTCGGTGTACATCTGCTCGACAGCTCCATTCAAAGTAGTGTCTCGGTATTCCTTGTACATGTTGTGATAACCGGTACGACTTTGATAGCGGAGCCAGATACCATAGTTCTTGATCTTGGTCGGGTTCTTCTCGAAAATCTGCAGAGGAATTTAATTTAGATATCGGGCATTGAAATGAAAAATCAAAGAATGCATCGGAAATCATGTTCCCTTGGGTGTATCAGATAATCGATATGCAACCATTAACCATAGCTTTTCATTTTCCGATGAAGGTTCAACAGTAAAGAGCTAGGGGATCACAGCAAAGTAAAATATTGAGAACTTGTTGTACGCATCCAGTTATAAAAAGTTTCAAACCGATTTTGATGAACTGCTTTTTTAATTCGGTCTTTACATAGGAAGGCCCAAAAAGTTATGTGACCAAATAAATCATTCATTGAAATCGCAATCAGCTAAACAAAGATATATGAACTTTTTAAAGTGTAATAGATTTTGCATGAAAACCTTCAAGATCATATGTTTCTTTCCTATACAAGTTCCCTCCTATCAAACAAAAATTACAGAGTAAATTACACAAACATGAGCTAAACATCAGCAATTCCAGCAAAATAGTTTCGGACATAATCGAAATGAAAAGGGTAATTTACGTAATGAAATTTCAACACAACATACAAACAATAAATCACTTTATACAGAGTAAATGATCAAATGGATAACAACAGCATATATACCTCGTTGATGGCAAGGACTTGACCGTTGCTCTTCTTAACCTTCTTCAGCTTCCTCAGGAAGTACCTGATGAATATATTCAACAACACTCAGAAACCTTCAACAACTTCAATCAAATGGGATATTAAATCAAGCAAAAAAAAAAACCCACAGATGGACATGAAAATAATCACTAACCAGAACTTGGATTTGGCCCGAACCTCATTGGTGGCCCAATGCTTCATCCTGTAAATCTTGGGATGTTCATCGCTCTCCGTTGGGTGAGCCCTTCCAACAACCTGGTACTGCTGAAACTGCTACCATAAACAAGACCAGAAAAAAAATCAAATACTTCCAAGCCAAATGAAATAATGAAAATTTAGAATGGATCGAAACCCAAGCATAACAGAACAAAACCAACATTAAATTGCAAGAACAAATCCTGAAATGCTTATTAACAGTAGAACGCTGAAGCGAAAAGAGGGAAATGGAGGAGGCGTTGGCCACTTACCCTGAAAGTAACCATTTTTTAGAAAAGATAGTATCCGATGAAGTCACGACCCTCTCCCTCAATTAGGGTTTTTTTCAGATCAAAAGGTCTATATTTAGAAATAAAGGGGAACAAAAAATCTGAAGCGAAAGAGGGAAATGGAGGAGGCGTTGGCCACTTACCCTGAAAGTAACCATTTTTTAGAAAGATAGTATCCGATGAAGTCACGACCCTCTCCCTCAATTAGGGTTTTTTTCAGATCAAAAGGTCTATATTAGAAATAAAGGGGACAAAAAATCACATAATAAAGGGTGATGAATAAATATTAGAAATAATGGGGAACAAAATTTGAAGATGGGGTAAAATGATGAGACAAAGCTATTAGCCGATTTAAGGCCAATGTAGCAGCAAATAAAGCCAACAACAGGAAAACAACATAAGCACCGGCTACAATCGTTGTCTCTTTGTGCCCACATAATTCCAGATGAAGATGCAGCGGTACCATTTTAAACAACCGGCGTCCACTTCCCTCGTACTGCTTTGTGTATTTGAAGTATAGCACCTGAGAAAATACAGTGTCAGTTATCATGCCTTGGAACAAGCAGGTTATCGTCGATTCGTCACTAGCTGCGGCAACGATGTGTTATGCGAAGTCGGAAAGTGAATAGATGTGCATAGTGTATACCTGCATAATAACTGATGATACTTCCAAACGAAGAAGCCGGATGCAATGAAAAGGGGAAAGAACATTCCGGTACAAGCCATTGCAGCTAATGAACCACTGAGGGCCGAGGACCCAGTATCGCCCATAATTACAGCTGCTTTGTACTGGTTGTGCAAAAGAAAACCGATGCAGGCCCCTGCCATTGCTGCCACGAATATACTTAGTTCTGATTGGGATTGAGAAATAACAATCAAGTGTTGAAGACGTTTACAAAGAATGGCAGAGCAAGGTAATGCTTGTAAAAGTGGAGTCGGCTAATATGATAACATGGAAACGAAACGAAGTGGAGTCTACAATAAAACGTAGCGACATGGCTTGTTCAAAGAAATGTATACTAACCCGGGCATATTGGAAGCACTGCAATTGCCATTCCAATAAAAGCTAATGCAGCAGTCCCAGCAACCAGACCATCAAGACCATCTGCTAAGTTAACCCCTTTCCCATGGAAACGAAACAAAATGGAGTCAACACTAGTATAATTTTCCCAACCACAGAAGGCCCAGCGGTAAGGAACCAGCATTTTCCTGCAATAAAAGGTAAATAATGGTTTAAGCGAAAACCAAAAGCATCATTCGAGAATAAAAGATAATATGAAGTATGGTCTGCAAAGGATAGCCTAAAACATGAATTGAAGCAATGGTAGTTTATTTACTCGATCAATCATTCATTGAAGACCCTTTTTTTTCTGACAAGAACGAGGTAATCTATACTTTTATATTGTCTTCCAGAAGAAAATAATTCAAAAAAAAAATTGAGCTGACACACACATGATAGTCATCTAAGTGCTATAATTCCCCTTATCATCTCTTGTATGGTAACTCTCCCTCAATAGAATGAATTATCAACTTTCAGGCTTGTGTTCTTGCCTATGTTAAGAAAGAAAAAGGTTAACTATTTCATAAATTCAATTAGTTCAGCCCCCTTTTTTCAAATGAGAAGTTAAGGAAACTTGTTATTTATGCACAAATTCTCTGGCACAAGAATAGATGTTAGTTACCAGATAAATGTGATTCGGACTAGTTAACAAGAAGATATACATGCCATAGGGTGTTGACAAATTTGTAGTATACAACCAAAATGAAAACCAAACCCCAACAGCTGCCTGTAATGACAAACAATTCAAGATCAGTGCAATGTTGATAAAATGAAATCCAAAGGCGGCATGGACGGCGCATATATGACTAAAGATAGAGGGAATGAAGAAAATAGATACCTCCAAAAGTAGTCTTAACCATGGATCCATACCACACTTTCGTTTGGTGAAACTTAAGGCATCATCAAGTAGTCCAATTGCAGCAAATGCAAAGGTTGCTGCTGCAGTAGCAGCAACTTCAACAGAATAAACACCAGTCGCGAATCTTGCAACAGCTATACCTACTGGAACAAAAAATAGTCCACCCATAGTCGGGGTCCTTTTCTTTCTCATATATTTAGGAGGCCCTATTTTCCTAACTACCTCGTGAAACTTAAAGATTCTAAGCAACGGAACACCGATGTAACCTGCACATGAAGCTAAGATCAATGATATAAAAAATGGGGAGGTCAAGTAGAATGGAGCCAAAGGTAGCCTGACAATTTTCCATCCACACCAATCCACAACTAAAAGAACCATTGTCACGAAGACTATAAGAGTCAAGTTCATTATCAATCCAGGGTATATCCTGCAATCAATTTGGACAATCCATCAACACATGCCTAAAAGGATATTAACGTATGCACACGGTAAGACTAATATGATGTTTGTTGATAATAACATTTAGGTTGTGATGATTTTAGGCAGTTCGCTCATTTTAATCGCAACCGATGATTTTAAAAAGAGTGATGAGTTAAAGACGATGAACGTCCTCCTGCTCAGGGACAGAGAGGGAGAAATAAGACTCCCTTAGTCTTGCATGGGATTTATAAAAAGAACTTCAATATTAGTTTCAGTCTTAGGGTCAAGATAATTACTCGTAGATTGGTAAGTTGAATAGATAATGCTACCTAACAGTAGATTTGGTTCTAGGATATCACGTGAGTCTACTATAGGTCATGTCATGATCAGGGGATACAAGTCTTCGAAAGATTCGATCAATGGAGGAGTTCATTTGGGTAAGGAGTTGCAACAGATACACGATCTTACGGAGTAGGTACAACAAAGTTCATGGATAAGAAGATCACGTAAAATGTTCCTTTACTATAGATTTGGTCATTGTCAGGATGGAGTGACAGTCGCAAGATTTTTTGTTAGGAGCAAACTTTTAAAATTTTAAGAGGTGACGAACTAATACAAAAACAATTACTAAAAAAACAAAAACATATCTGAAATATATAACAATTTAATTTTTAAAGAGGCCACCGTCTCCAACTACTTCTTTGCTCTATCCTTAACACTGTACTATAGTTTGGTCATTTGGAAATGTGTATTTTCATGCCAACTTTGTTTATTTAATTCGTAAAATATTTGATCATTGTATAAAATGCATAATACAATAGCTCCTATAGAATTTTAGCATCAGAAACTTAATAAAAGAGCTTGCCTGTGTCTTTTAATGCCTTTCCCACGCAAAACAAGCCGATGGGAAACCTTGGCTAGAGCTTCTTCGAGAGGCAAATCCTCATCAGACAAAGAATTTAATGCCAAATCCCCATCGCTATATCCCCATCAGATGAAAGCATATAACCTGCCATCGTATCATCAATGGCCCAGTCATCAAACGGATCCTAAAACAATAACCCAAAAAAAAGTAAAAAATCATAACAGTAACAAATTCATTTCATCAAGATCAAATTATGCCCTCAGTCCCTGTACACTTTGAAAATTCAAAATTAGTCGTTCTGCTTTTAATTTCAATAATTTAATTCCCCTGTCTGCGTATTCAAATTTAACCAAAACAACTAAGTGGAGGGTTAAATTCCTAGCAATAAAGAGTAGGACTAAATTTAAAAAGAACGAATAGTGTAGGGACTGATACATAATTAAACCTTCCACCAACCATATTGCAAAATGGAAAACTTTTAGATTCAGAAACGAAGGTAATGTTTATTTACTTACATCATCGGCGGCGTTAGATCTAATGACGCCGTACCCTGATCGTCGCCTTCGCTTCTGGACATTTCTGGACCGCTTGACTGAAATCTGATCGGACAGTAGAAGCTCGAAGCAGCAGCGACGCGAACCCGAGGAGATGAAACGGAGACGGATGCGTGCCGTTTTGGGGATCGAGTGAGTCCCGTGGAAGAAGAGAAACGGTGTAGATTTAAAGACAATGAATGAGATCGTGTGACGACTGAAAGTTCAATTTGAAGGAGAGATCAGAGGCCATTCAAGAAAATTAACTGCAAAATGGTATTTGAAAAACAGAGAAGTCTCAATATAAGTTATATAACACGGTCAATTTTCAGCAGCAAACATAATAATATATTCCCTTTCATTCGTTGCAGCTGGCCACACGAGTAATATATTCACATGAGTAGTGAACTCGTTATTCATTCTCAATGATTCAACCATAACACCAAAAGTCAATTACATTATTAATTTAAAAAAGTTCGTGTGGAGGAGCCGCGATACTAGTTGAGGTTCGTGGCGAGGAGATCCAACGTTGGTTCAAACAGACGATGTTGCGTTGCTGGTTCGTGAGAGACTGAGAGTGAGAGTGTGAATTGGATTGGGGGCTTGTTTCAGTGTGAATTGGGAACGTTTACTCATAGGTTTCGAAATGTGAATAGGAATGTGAGCATTTGGGCTTCATGCTTTAAAATTTCATATCATCAAATTAAAACGTGAATTGAGCTTCAGACTTCAATGCACATAAAATGTGAATTGGGATATGACTAAAATGGACATAAAACGTGAATTGTTTTCCGTAAAACATAAAATAAATTGAAAAAAAATAATTAAATTAAACGGGCTACCAGCGGAGCTCGTGAGTATACTCATTAAACCCACGGGTTTAACGGTTTGGGCTAATAAACCCGCAATTTAAATTAACTTTATTTTTTGAGCCCGAAACCCGTACGGGTCACGAGTTAAACGGGTAGCCCGCAGACCTTAACCCATATACGCGACTCTAGATAAATGGGTTGCTTACGTCTGACTTGTGAGCCCAATTGTTATAATTATCTTTTTCCCTTTTTTAAAATTATATTAAAATTAGTTTTCAAATTTTACTGAAATAATCATTTTAATTCTTTTTTTTCAAACAGTTCAACTTTTAATACTTCGATTTTGATCAAAATAATCTATGTTGAATAGAAATTATTATTTCGTATGTCCTATTAATTATATCTTATATTAACTACACACGTAATTTTAAGAGATGAATTTGACTACATATTAAATTATATAAAATTAGATAAATGAAAAAATTATCTTA